TTTTTTGAATTGAAACTCAATTATCATGTGAGTGTATAAAATATTTATTTAATAAAATGTACATAATTAATATGCTGTTTGAATGAAAGCCATACAGATATTTCGTTTATTTATGATACATGAATCCTTTCTCCAAAATTTATTACACCTTTTCCAGTTGTATTTCATTTTATTCAAAATTTGAGATTTCATTATTCATTTCTCTCTTATTTACTCAAACTTTCAATACCTAATATCAATATGAGGAAGGACCAACATTTCACGTTTGAGTCCACTAATGAAATCACGAAATAAAACATTGAAGTGTATTTTCACTTTGAATTTTCTATAACCAACCATATGAATGCATGTATTCAAACCCATAGATTTATTAGATTTGATATCACTGTACAAACTTAGAATGTGTTGTTTCATACAATTCGTTCTGAAAATGTCGAATTTAGATTTCGATGGAATTAATTCATTACGTAAACATGGAACAAAACAAAAAAAAAAAAACAATCAAATTCACTAATAGCAAATACGTATCAGTCAAATATTGACACAAAATCCGTTTCTCATACATGAATCGTTCTATATAACTTCACCAAGTGAATTGAGAAATATACAGGGAGCAACTAGAAAATTGACTTGAGAAAATATCTGCTTCAGAGACTTTGATGATTCCATTTCTCATTATAATACCTACTTATGGAAGATAAGATTGATATTGCATGATTATTCACTTATGTCTTTGAACAACTATGTTTCTTGGGGTAATAAAGGCAATCAATCAATCAAAGCATCAATAGTATTTCAGAATGGTCAGTTGTATTCGAGAAAGCATCAATTGTATTCCAGAATAGTGAATTGGATTTCAGATTGAGTCATTTGTATTTTAGAAAATATAAGTTGAGATACTTCGGACTTCTGACTATTCTGGAATACATTTGATACTTTCTGAAATTCAATTGACTATTATGAAATGCTATTGATACTTCCTGAGATACAAGTGACTATTCAGAGATACAAATAACAATTCCTGAAATTGAAATGACGCTTTCTGAAATTCAACTGGAAAATGTGTAGTTGAGGAGGAACTCACGATATATCGTTTCGAACTAAAATCAGAGTCACATTCTGTGAAAAATAAATCTCAATCAGAGTATAGGAACCTATATACCCAAATATACATTCTCTAGAATTCAGTTTCATCATAGTGCTGAAAATATCGCTTCAGTTTTATGATTTTGTAGCTCATGTAATTCACAATATTATTTCACCATCAGGAATGAATTTTCCTAATTATATCTTTCTGGGTAAGATAGCAGGAGACGTAACTCGTAGTATTCGAACTCACTCCAAAGTTAGAATATGATTAGCATGCGATGTACTTCATTGAATTCTGATAAGAAAATTGCTGCACTACTAGCTTCATAAAATAATCATTCAAATTTTGAAACTAGTTGATGAGTTGGGAAAACTCATGAAAACTTCTCAGATTCGAGCCAGAATTTTATATGTCGAGTACAGGAAAAACCACTCATTATTCAGATTGGGGCTTGATTTAAGTAGTACAGGGTGATTCATCATAAATGTCCCCCCCTGTAGCTCAGTTATTTTTGAACCGATTTCAAAATTTGAAATATCATCTTAGATGATTTTTGAAAAAGTTTTTTCCTGCTACATCAGAAAATACAGGGTGCTCGGAACAAACGATCTACAGGGTACTATTCGATTTTTTTAAATGGAACACCCTATTTTTCATTGTATCTTTAGATTCTCCTCAAAGAGCTGATTTTATCAATGCATCACACTTGGGGTCTAGTGGGAATGATAACAGAGATATAGGGTGTTCAAAATCGAGAGTTTTCAACTTTACTCTTTAGGATTTTTTTGTGGTGAAACTATTCATTATCGGTCAAAACGGCTCTCATGTCCGTATCTTAACTGTAGATTTACTATCTACTGACATTTAGTGATTGAAACAGATACAGGGTGATCAGAATTCTGAATCTTGAACCACCCTGTGAATGGTCCAATTAAATGTCAGTAGATAGTAAATCGAAAGTTGAGATGGGGACATAGGAGCCTGTTTGACCAATAATGAATAGTTTCGACACAAAAAAATCCTAAAGTTGAAAAATCTCGATTTTGAACACCCTATATCTCTGTAACCATTCCCGCTATACCCCAAGTGTGATATATTGATGAAATCAGCTCTTCAGGAAGAATCTCAAAATACAATGAAATACAGGGTGTTCTATTTGAAAAAATCAAGTAGTACTCTGTAGATCGTTTGTTCCGAGCACCCTGTATTTTCTGATGCAACGGGAAAAAATTTTCTGAAAAATCATTTTAGATTATTTCTCAAATTTTGAAATCGGTTCACAAATAAGTGAGCTAGAGGGGGGGACATTTATGGTGAATCACCCTGTACATATAATTAGGTATATAGGTGGTCAAGTAGGAATGCAGGTTCGGGTTTCATTTAATATCAACAATCAGAAGCAGGAGATGATTTCATTAGAAAATGGATTCTCTTCCAATCATTCAATGTATGGGACAAAACTATAATGATACGAAAGACAACGTATATGCAATAGCCTTCGATAATTGAGGGAGTTTAAATAAATCTCTGAGGTACCAGATTGAAATGTCCTAATAATACATCGAGAATGGTTCAACATGACTTCATAGAAAACATCATTATCGTGCTTTCACTAAGGCATTTCTCAGACTCCACTATAATTTCCAGTCAATATAAGATCTACACGGCTCCAAAAATAGCTTCAACTCATAAGGGTTAAATTGGAAACTATAGGTACCTTTTCGTTGTCTATGTTGTATCTGTTATGCCCAATAGTCAATTTCGGACTAAGCCCGAAAAAAATAGATGAAACTAGTTTTGAGCAACGAATATTTCCTAAACTGAAAATTTCAATTGAAAACGGTTATTGAGCATAACGAAATAGGTGAAAATAGTTTTGAACAATTTGAAATTCACAAAACTTGTACATTTCTGAATGACCAGCACTAATTCTGCTTATCTTACAGCCTCCTAACTCGGTCATAATGAACCTTCTTCCTGAGAACTATATCTATTTGTTGTGATTTGTTTGAAGAACATTTCCAACTTTATCTTATTTGGACGTTGCGCACTGATTGAATGAAACAAGCAGATCTTGGGAGCAACCACTTGCCCTATCCATAGCTCTGCAAACGATAGTACCCTCTATACTGTGTTTACTTCTAGAATTCCCATTTCTTATTCCCAGGAAATTGAGAACTTGTGAAGAAGACAGACCAACGCTGTCAATCGAGATCATGCTGATATTACTACCTGGGCAACCGCAAAAACCTAGTTGAACTCAACGCCATACCAAAAGGCAAACCTGTATTTTCAGCACTCAAACAAACGCTTATGCTCTCAGATTCGATCCAGAGAAGAGCAATTCGCCTGGTGGGTGATGCCACACTCAACAACTCTTTGACCCTATTAGAGCACCCTAGGAAAATCAGCGACCCTTCACTTTTCTATAGATGTTCCTCAGAAATCTCTGTTTTAGTTCCATCCCTAGCGATACCTGTCAGACGAACTCATTCAGCACATCCCTTCGTCGTTAACCTTGAAAAATGTCGAGCAACACTCTAACAAAACTTGTTCGTCTATAGAATGGCGAAGCTTTGGAATTCTTTGCCTCTTCCTGTTCTCCCCAGGTACTCGCGATGTTCCACGAACATAATAGGATTTCCCTTTCGTGCGCTCTTAGAGATGAAAAAAACTTGTTCAGAAATATACAGGTATAGTTTTGTACATTTCAAATTGCTCAAAACTAGTTCTTCCTATTATGTAATGCTCAATAACCTACACGAAAAAAAAAAAGATTTGTTGCATCAACAAATTATTTATGCTTGAGTTTTTTTGTTGGGTTGAGCTATTTTTTGTTGAATCAACCATATACATGATTATTCCATGGAAGCAGCTTGTTCAAATGAAGAATGTGGTCTAATTGAATCAACAGTATAATATCAATTCCATCAACATTATATGGATTCCCTTTCGTGAGCTCCAAGCGATAAAGAGAAAAATGTCGATGTCAATTCAACTATAACCATTTCGTTGATTTGATCAAACAATGATCATTCTGATGAGAATATATCTTCGAAACAACATACAAGTTTTCTTATTCCGATGTAGCAATGAACTCGTTTCGAACGGATCATTTGCTTGAATAGAGCAACGAAATAGGTAATATCATTGAAATATTTTGTTCATTTTACATCAACTCAAATGTTTGCCTCTAGATGGCGATCATTTCTCCTCGTCTATGCCTGCCTCGAATTCATTATATACGTGAAGCCTGATCCTTCGTGGTTGAAATATCAGCTGGATAAATCGAACTTAGGATGAGTAGCAATCCGAAATAGTTTTGTATCAGCTAAAGATATTTCATTGAATCAACCGAATATTTCATTGAATCAACCAAATATTTCGTTGAAACAACTAAATATTTGATTGAATCAATATCTTGTTATTTTGAATCAAACAAAATGATTGTTTGAGAAAATTCAATGTCTCTTGAGAAACAATTCAAGGATGAGCTCGATTGAAGAAGATCAAGAGTTCATGCAAGACCTATTAACTTGATTCAAATTTCAAATTCGCTCTGAAACAAGATATAGATTCATTCATTTCAAGATTATATTTTATATATGACACTTTCATTTGCTCCATTCAATTAAATTTTGCTTGATTCAACAATTCCTTTTTTTCCGTGTAATACTGTTGAAATTTTGGCTTTAGGAAATATTCGTTACTCAAAACTAGATTTTTTTCGGGCATTGTCCAAAATCTACTATTGAGCGTAACACATCTAATGAAAATAAATACAACGCATTAGGAATTCCTCTCTTCAGAAAGCTTTCCCTGGCAACTTTTGCGCCATCCTGCGTTACATTCGCCATCACTAAATAGACGACAGGCATCAGCATTGTTGTCACGTTTGCACTTTGTGAAGTCATCTGCGGAGGTGAAAGGCCGATACGAGGACCAGCATATTGAAGATATGATGCGGATCGAATTTTTCACGTCCCTCGCCGCCGTTTTTATCTTGCGTCAAAGCTCCCTTCTCTGAAAATAAACAAAATAAAACACATACCCAGCGAGCACAAACATCCCCGGGAAGTTTTGAAAATGTTGGCCTTTCTATCTCTGTTTCCTCTTCCCTTTCTTTTTCTACTTTTCCCTTCTCCATATGCTGCTGAATATCTCTCATATGAATGTAAGATCTCTCATACCACATTTTCTTGAATTTCAAAACCAGATTGTTGATGCAGACTTTGACATTGTGGGAGTTACAGAAACATGGCTAAATAATGGAATACCTACTAACATGGTAGACCTAAACGGATACACGTTTGTTCGACAGGACCGACCTACTAGAGGCGGTGGCGTAGGTATATATGTAAAAAATAATTTAAAATTTGATGTGATATTCTCAGAATACAGTGAAACCATGGAATACATATGGATTAGAGTTTCGATCGATAAATATATAATCGCAATAGGAAATGTTTACAGACAACCCAGTGGCAACAATTTCAAATTTCTAGATCATTTTGGTAATATTCTCGAAAACATTTTTTCGAACTTTGACCATATTATTTGTTTTGGTGACTTTAATATTAATATGTTTGATGTAGATGCCAACATCACTATACGTTTCAATGATATTCTTGACACCTTTGGCTGCAAACAATTGATACAAGCACCAACACGGGGTTTTTCGTTACTAGACTTGTTTATAACAAATTTTGATACTCAGCACTGCTACGAAACGGTCGGAAGTGACATGATAGCTGATCACTCTTCGATCAATTGTAAAATTAACTTGGAATCTCTTTGTGATATTGTGCAAGAATATTTTCAAACTGACCTTCAGTTACAACCATGGAATCTCATTTACGAGACAGACAATATTGATGTGAAAATTTCTCTTTTGAATCACAATATACTTAATGTTCTAGACAAACATGCTCCCATTAGGTCAGTGTCACAAAAACAAACTAGTTACTCACCCTGGATAACAGAGAACATAAAAATTATGCAGAGGTACCGAGACAAAGCTCTACAAAAATTCAGAAGAACTCAGCTTCCTAAACATTGGACATATTACAAGCAATTAAGGAACTATACCACTAGTGCCATAAAATCCGAAAAGAAGGCATATCTGAATTTCAAATTACAAAACTGCAGCGCTAGAGATAAATGGTCAGAACTGAAAAAACTCAACATATCCAAAAAAAGTCGGGCTGAAATTCCTCCACATATGAATTCCGTCGAGGAGATAAATAACTTTTTCATTAACGTTACAAGGGACATACCAGTCGACAAAAACTTACTTGATTTTTATAAGAACAATAAAAAACACGATATTGAGAACGAATTTATATTTCAGATAGTAAATGAAGAAACTATAATTGATATCATAAACAACATTAGTAGTAAAGCCTTCGGAAATGATGAACTCAATATTACTATTATAAGGTTATGCTGTCCCCTGATTGTTCCAATCATTGCCCACATTATTAATGTGTGTTTGTTAATTGGATATTTTCCAACTGAATGGAAATTTGCTAAGGTGATTCCACTGCCTAAAGTAAGTTCTCCCAAAGAGTATAGTGATCTGAGACAAATTAGTATCTTACCGGTTCTTTCGAAAGTTTCTGAGCGAGTTATAGAATCTCAAATTAGAGACTTCGTTAATAATAATAATATTCTACCCATCAAGCAATCCGGTTTCAGAAAGGGTTATAGCTGCGCCACGGCACTTGCAGAAGTCGTTGACAATTTATTAAAAACAATTAACGATGGAAAAATATCTGTACTGGTATTGTTAGATTTCTCTAAGGCCTTCGATATGTTGAATCATGATATTCTAACAGCGATGTTTAAATACTTCCATTTCAGTGAAACAGCATGTTCCCTTCTCTCGTCATATCTGAAGGGCCGAAAACAAATAGTACAAATCGGTACTCATAAATCTACGCCTCAGGGTATTACTTGCGGGGTGCCACAGGGTAGTATTCTTGGTCCACTATTCTTCACTTTGTATACATCACTCTTTCCTGATTCGCTCAAATTTTGTGACTATCACCTTTATGCTGATGACACGCAGCTATATTTTCCATTTCAATATTCTGATACACCGGAAGCAATCCAGTGCATCAACAGATATCTCGAAGAATTATCCAATATCTCGCGCAGCCACTGTCTGAAAATAAACCCCTTAAAATCGAAAGCGCTCATATTTTGTACTGATAATACCTTAGCACTTATCAAGGACAGAGTATTACTTGAGATTGTTGGTACCTCAATTCCAGTTGAAACTCATTGCAAAAACTTAGGTCTAGTCCTGGACAACAAATTGAGGTTCAAAGAACATATATCCTCCAAACTAAGAATTGCATATGCCTCACTGAAAATGATTTATACCCAACGGCAATTCCTCTCGTGTGAAATCAAAAAAATGTTATGTGACTCGCTTGTACTATCACATTTCAATCATTGCGATGTCGTGTATGGTCCCTGCTTAGACAGCAATGATTCTAGACGTATTCAGAAGCTTCAAAATTCTTGTGTTCGATTGGTTTACGGAATAAGAAAATATCACCACATCTCAGGAAAATTTAAGGAAATGAAATTGCTGAATATGTACAACCGTCGAACTCTACATTTTGCATGTTTGGCCCATACAATCTACACTTTCAAAACACCTCCCTATTTACATAACAGACTAACTTTCAGAACAGATGTTCATAATCTGAATATCCGACAAAAAACCCTTCTTCGTGTGCCGAGACATGAAAAAATTATTTATAAACGCTCGTTCTCTTATGGTTTGGCAGTCTGTATCAACAATCTGCACAGATTAGATCCTTCACTGCTATCATCTTCTACCGAATCATTTAAAGTTAAATATAAAAAGTATCTTTTGTCCACGCAGAAATGATCTTACAAATCAACTAATCTTTGTTGTTACTCACTTTACCTATCTTTTTCCTTTTTTTTCCTTCTCGCTCTCTTCTTTTTTCCTCTCCCTCTTGCTTCCTATCATTTTCTTTCAGAATATCGTTTCTTTACATTTAAATTATCATTTGCTTCTCAAATTTCTTTCTTCAATTTCACTGGCACTGGTGGAAGAACAGGGATGGATTAGTCCACAACTGAACCAGTTATAGCCATTTATCCACTTGAATTCTGTTATATTACGTGCCCTGTACTATTTAAATATTTTGTGGATAATAAATGTATTATTATTATTATTATTATTATTAAGATGTTATTTTGAGACGTAATATGCACTGACCAAAGAGGTCTTTGAAGGATATTGAAGTATTGTTTTTGTTCTTCTGTGGCATTTCTTTGTTTGCCTACTGGAAAGTATCCCTGGAAAGGAATTTAGTGAAGGAAGTTTATTGTGTTAGAAGACTTATTCAGTTTGTAATAATGACCATCAGATGCAAGATGTGTTGTTCGGTGCCTCAGTGTAATCAATATATACAAGAACGAATTTATCAATACACAGCTTCTTCGCAGTTGCAAAATTATGCATTGTGGAGAACATTTCAAAAATTGGGAAACCTATTTCCAATTATATATATGTGTGTAGTAAGCACTACTCAGAAATCGATTAAGAAGGTAATTTCATATCAAGAAAATATTTTTATGTTCAATCTATTTTTAATGCATTTTTTCATTCATGGGAAATGGAATCCTAATGCGAAAATTCATTTTGACAAAATTCTTCAGAAAAGTACATCGAAAATGTTTTTTTTACAGCGATTTAATGTGCGCAAGACGCGTTGAAAATGTTTTGTTGTGTCCATAAAAAGGCTTTAAAAAGAACTAGGGAGAGGGAAGTTTTGTGACATAACAAGGACATCTCGATAATTGCCGCCTGCGGCGGACATTGGCTGTTTTATAATAGTTCTATTCATGTGTGAACAGAACATCGCAGTGGAGGTTCAATGTCTCGAAATCTCGTACTTTCAACATCTCTGAGATGTTTTTGTGCTCGCTGGGTAAAATCTTAGGTCTATTTGCTGCTCTGAGTTCAAGTATTGGTCTTTTATCAGTATGGAATGATGTACAGGGTCCTGCAATTCTATGCCCCATTTAATGGTTGAGTTAAGATGGATTTATGCACACTACTCTTTCTCTAATCTGTTACTTTCATCAACTGCCATTTTAAGTTCATTTTTATTCAAGGACTATGATACCTTTATATGCACCACCTTCTTTTAATTTTGATCTCTTCCTCTAGATCAAAACATAGTCCCCAGCGTATGATACGATTTTTTTTCCGATACTCTAGTTCTGAACTTGCGACCTCTGTTTGACCATTGTAGCAAACTTTACAATCAATTGGTGTGAGGATATTCCACCAATGTTCCTAAGACAACATTGCAACCTGCTGATTCACAATATTTCACCCACATTTTGAATCTAATTCTGTACAAATATAGCCAAATGTTCACATTTTGTTTTTCGCTAATATTACGTTCATAATATTTTGCCGATATATCCGTAATATTGCACCGATATTCAGTGCCGTATTAGCCACGTAGCAAGAGTAGCAAATGCTACGGGTCCTGCGAATTGGGGGGCCCCGCGCTCCAATGCTTGTCCGGCCTTGCATCAGATCTGTACACGACTGTGAAGAATACTATCAGCAATAAACATAGGGACGAATCAAGCGATATACAAAGTACGACCATTTCAGCGGCTCTCTAATACACTCGACGACTTTGTTGAAAATCCATTATTTCCATTATTGATAACGTACTGTCTGCTTCAACCAACCGTTTGAGAGCATTTCATGAAATTTCTAGTGTTTTTGGAGTATTTCGAGAGCGAAACAGATTTTGGAAAAATCCTCAATGATGGTCAGTGCTGACACAGATGATTTGGAAAAAAGCCTAGGCGACGAATTAGTGTAGATCGTTGAGCTGCTCAAAACAAATGTGGGTACTGTCATTCAGAGCACCAAACTTTCATATATTTTCCAAACATAGAAACTGCCTTGCAAATTCACGTGTATCTCATGATCGCTAACTATAGTCGTGTCGATCGTTTTTTTTTAGTATTAATCTCAATCATCTCACATTGATAAATATAGAGCATGATTTGCTTGAAGAAGTCGATATTGGAAGGATTTTTCCTGAATTTGCCCATAAAGGTATGTATATCCAGAGAAGTTTATCTGTAATAGTTTCGTTTCATTTTATTCAATACTCTTAACTTGATGACCAAACCAAGGGCCCTTTGGTAGAATTTGCTACAAGCCCCGCGCTGGCTTAATCCGGCACTGCTGATATTGTCCCAATATATGTGTCCTACTTATTCAGTTTGAATAATTCTGTTCGATAACACCAACCTCCGTAATAAACCATCACACTATCCAATTGGGCATTGGACGGTACACAAGAGTAGTTCCCAGTGTGCGTCTCATTGGCTTTGGGGAAGATCAACTCGCTGCCTTGTCTGCCCTCCCTGACAGTGGCGCCATCTTCCAGGTCGTAGTTTATCATCCTATCGTCATGATACCAGAAGATGTACTCCGGAGCCTCGATTGAGTTGATGAGCACGCAGCTGAGGCGGAGCGGCAGCTCTTTGTCTGCTGGGATGATCTTGATGGGGCCATCGATGATTTTGGCATATGCTTCTGGAACGTTAAACCACAAAAAAGTTACCATACACAAAAAAAAAGATTTTTTGCACCAACAAAATTATTTTGGTCAATTTTGATTTGTCAAATTGAACAAATGTTTGCGGAATCAACAGAAATATATCAACGCCTCAGAGCAACCCTAGAAAATCAACGGAATCGTGGTTCTGACATAATTCGATTTGAAATGCTTCTGGAAAAATATAATATCGACTAGTGCTACTGCTGCTATTGAGCTGTGTGACATTCTGTAGCATATAGAAGAGAATTTTGATTTTTTTTTTGAACGGAATCGTAGGCCTGAGATAATTCGATTTAAAATTTTCATGATTACTAGACAATGTCGAATATTTTGGGCTTCAGTCAACGCACCACAGTGGAATTTTGAAGCAAGTTTAACACAAATGGCGTTTATTCGAAATCAACGAATGCTTCTGGAAAAAATAATATCGACTTTTCCTACTGTTGCTATTGAACTGTGTGACATGTTTCAGCATATCGAAGAGAATTTGAATTCTTTGAACAGTCAACTTATTAATTCTCTTGAATAATCAGAATTTTGACAAGGATTTCATCCTGCAGAGGAGAGTACTTTCATCCTGTTGAACACTCTTTATTGATTTGATTCGAATGCATTGAGGAAATAAAACTATCACAAAAAATAATGAATAACTAGTAGAAAACTTAAGATTCTTGGAGATTTCTTGACCATTTCAACTAGGAACTGGCCCTCTGATGATGAATCATTTTTCATTTCAATCTTTGGCTACATTTTCATGAATATTTACTGCGAGAATAACAATAAAATTCTTGGTATTTACAGAAAACACAACTCGCAATAGTATAGGAGTATACTCATCATAGTCTTCACCTTGCTGTCGGCTCTGTCTTTCACTTCATGTTGACATGTTCGTAGTATTATATGTTCTGGGACTAAATTATCTTCACTGAAATGTTATTCAGGCTGTGTTTACCTTTCTACAGATGACTCAGTATAGTGATTCATTGAGATAAATCATATTGTTGTACATGTACATAATAATATGCATGACATGTACATTGTATCCAATAATGTATAGGTAATTTATCAACTGTACACGGAAAAGAAAGTTTTGTTGCACCAAAAAAATAATTTTGGTCATCTTCTTTTCGTTAAATTAAACACAATTTTGCGGAATCAACAAAATATATGTTTATTTCGAATAAGCAACCTATTCAAAGAGACAAAATAATTTGATTGAAATATTTGCTTTCTTGAATGAAAGTTTCATTTCATTCAACAATATTCATAGTTGACATAAAACAAATTTTGTTGGTCCAACTATCATCTCATTGTTCAATCAATTATATGCATTTTGTCTATTCGACAATATTTAATTAATTTTGACAAAGATTTAACTAAATACAACATTATATTTTGTTGAGTCAATAATCATTTCATTGTGCAACCAATCGAAGGCTTTTTTTTTATTCGACAAAATTGAATTGATTATGACAACATTATATTCTGTTGATTCAACACATCACTATCAAGAAATATGTTTCTATTTCAAACAAATTACTTTTTTAACAGAATCCACAAATATATTATATCAAACAAATATTTTGTTGAATGATTATGTAGTTGCATTTTTGCCACCAGGTGGCGTTTCTTCCAACCTTCCTACGCTCGCCTCGATTGGGGTGCACATATATCTACCTAAAACATCCGTTTATATAATTACATTAAGCTGTCCTAGTATTTCTTATGACGCCTATACAAGCTGATAGCCTTGAATCCACTGAGGAAATTGATCTCTGATTCCTCTTAGTTTTGAAATTCAGTTATTAGTTTGTTGAAATATTGATCAGCATAATATTTTGTCAATTCTAAATACAATTTGGTTGATCGAACAATATATTTTGTTATTTGCACTATCCGAAAAACGGAAAATTTTGTCACTTGAATGAAATTATATAATCATTTCAATCAACTGAATCGTTCATAAGAACAGATATTGTATTATAGGAACAAAATAGTCATTGTTTATTGAACCAATTCCTGCTGTTAATTTGAATCATTATTGACTTACATCAAATGAATTTTGAATTGAAAACTGACAAAAAACATTTGTTGCGGTGACAAAATATTTTGTCGTGGATATATGACACTCAGATTTTGTAGAATTCACAAACATTTTGTAGTTTCAAACAAATTTTTTTTTCTGTGTAATTGAATATTTCACCTTTATCCCCGAGAGAATGATTTCTGCTTCCAGGAAAATCATGTTATCTTGTTTGTTTCATTTCCATATCGCTACGCGAACGAAACAAAATAATAATATTCAACGACGATGGTGGATACAGAGCATACACTTACCCTCCAACTTCAGGGTAATGTTCACATTGTTGCAACTATCAGATGTGAAATTCGTACAGATTTGGCACTGATACAGGCCCTCGTCTTTGGGTTGGGTGTATCTTATGTGTAGGCTCCAGTCCTAGAACGATAATGCGGATGTTAGGTATGGGATTAACCAGATTACAGTTACTGTGAACTTCCAAATGGGTCCCATATTCAGTTCAAATAGTAGTAGTCACTCGAATTGCAGTTTTAGTCGAGAAGGTTCAAGCCAAAACCGAAACCAACTGACTCGTTTCAGTATAGTCGAGTGAAACTATCTCCTCCTTGATTTCCTATAGAGTTTTGACTGTTATTATATACGTAGAAGATTTGAGGAGTCAAATCAAATAATGATGGCGAGATGAAAAAAGAAACATGATGAATATCAAATGCATAAATAGAAAATCTATGCTGCCTACATTGTTGATCAAGAAACTCTAAATATTTAGATTGGTGCGTGTCTTCGCGATCGTAAATATTTTTGGTTGTAAACAACAACGCGTTTAAATGCTTGAATAATTTTACAAAAATATTAATAATGGTACGAATTGGTCTCACAAAATAATTCGCAAAGTAATAAGCAGGAATCAAGAGAACTGAAGGCAATATTGGAGATAAAATAATGATCGTGCAAAACGTGGCGTCTGATCAGACAAATATATTACTGCTGTGAGTGATGAGAGTGTGGACATAGGATAGAATAGGCCCTGACATAGGACATAGACCAGGAATTTTATATGTATAACCGTTGGTAGCTTTGTGCTTGTTTTACGGCTCACTTTGGCACATTTTAAGGCGTTGAGTAATGGTGAAACGATTTATTTCCTAAAAACACGTACTTATCGACAGCTGCTGCCGCATTTCCTGTATGGCTATTGATTTCATCCCCAGTTTTTTTATCGGCTCAAATTTCGAATCACCCACATTTCGATTCGCCCACATTTCAATCCACAGTACATGCTCAATCTTTCTATATACAGTTAAGTGTTTGAGATCATAGGTTAAAAGGTGAGACCCCTGTGATTCCTTGCTCGCACAAGACTCTTGAAGACTTTTGAGGGTTGCTCGTAATGGAGCAACCGAATGATGGATAAGAACAACAAAAAAACAGTAGGATTTTATCATTCACAGCATCAAATTGTCGGTTATGATTGCACAAGTGCATGAAAATTACCGATAATTTTGCAAGAAAGCTTGTTATCTGAAAATTACAAGAGCTCATTTTCACAATTTCACAAAATAAGTGAATTTCCGAATGTTATTTATATAAGATGACTCGTTCGAATGCAAAATGATCTGGTCATTGTTATGCACAAATATGATTCATTGGAATATTACACGAATGAAGAAATTCTCGAAGAAATTTTTTTTTTGAATGGAGCACTCACCAAATTGCGAAATTTTTATCCACTTTTTGAAGTCTATTTGACATTTACTTGGATTGTTCACTGGTGTCTAGCGACACTTTTTCAAATATGTTGTTATGGTTACGAGATGTCTTCCAGTGCAATCTTCGCTCTGCAGTGCAATTACTGGTTTAGTGATGTCATTTTTCGATAATATTGCATTGCTCTCATGTGACATTACATACAGGTTTACTGGTAATTCGATACATCCCTTTGTAGATTTTATATAGTAGGTGATAAGAAGTTACCCTAATATGCATTATGCAAAAAAGTTAGTTGTTTTTGAGATATTCAATTTCTTCTGTTTCTTCAAGAGGTTGAGGGTTGGGAAGTTAATTTCCCGAAAATCTGCTGTACATTTTTTAACCTTTCAACTAGAATACATGATCAACACTATACGGTCTTATGTATAAAATGAAACAATTTCAAAAATATTTCAGATCATAGATGAATCGTAACACTTTTTAGCTGTTATTTTTAGAAGCATCTCTGAGACACATCTTTCAAAAGTTTGTTAAAACTTTCTCAAGGATCTAACTGGAGTACAAATTGAACTTGAAGTGCTTCATACGGATTTGTTATTTCAAACGAATAATAAAAATCATACTTGAAAAATGCCCATCAGTTTTCATTTTTGGAGATACAGCAACAACTTGTTAACTATTATCGTTCGTTTGCTCGAGGCATTCAAATACCTCTACAAATTATCATAACCTTATGTCGAAGAAAATCCCCGTTCAACAAGGGAAACTAGTTTCCAACGAAAGTTTTATGAAATTGTGACGTTATTTGATAGGACCACATTCTTTCCTAGACAATTTAAACGGGAAGAGGAATGAACATTTTCTATACGGCATGATCTATAGGATCTTAGCCATCAGAGGACGAATCATATTTCAACAAGACGGTTGTCCAGCGCATGATGGGCTGATCGTTCGGCAGTTCCTGGATGAACGTTTTCCTAACCGTTGAACTGGAAGGTAAGGTCCAATAGGTTGGCCAGCGCGAAGCCCTGACCTAAGCCCCCTTGATTATCAAATGTGGGATTACATGGAAGCGCTAGGCTATAAAACCCCAGTAGATACCCAGGAAGCCCTCATACAAAAAATAACAGACGCAACTCAGAATATACAAAATGATCCGAGAACTAGAATAATGAATACGGAAATGACAGAACGCAGCCGAGCAAGTATTCATAATAGAGAATCTCACTTTCAACAGGATTAGTGGAAAGTAAATACCTTCTGATAGAAAATTTTCAATAACGTTTTTACTATCCATTTAAAATAACTAGAGTCACTGGATGGTATTAGGTAGATAGATCATGGAAAATACTACTATCCAGTGATAGAACTAACCTTATCGGGAACTCCCAGTTTCATTTGTACCCAGTTAGTTATATATATATATATATATATATTACTATTAGCTTTTGCCATAAGAAAGTTTTAACACAATTTTGACATATGTGGCTTATAGATTTTACTAAAAATAACTATAAGAAAGTATCACAATTCACAAATGATGATACTTCATTTACAATTTACCTATGATCAGAATTATTTCTGGAATCTTATCATTTCGAACATAAAACCATCATGTATTCTAGTTGAAAGCTTGAAAAAACGGCAGTAAATTTTCGGAAAACTAACTTTTGAACCCCTATGAAGTCTACCTTTTGAGAGAAGAGGAACAGGAAGAATGCAATATCCCAAGAATTATTAACATTTGCATAATGCATATCGGGGTTAAATTCATTACTTATCACCTTCCCTATCACATCTCCAGAAGAATGTTTCCAATCACCAGTTATCCTGTATATATATATATATATACGCTGAAAGATGGATTCTATCTTCTATCCCTCCAATTGATACTATAATTCTATATTAGTGTCTAGTTTCATCACCCTGACTATTATAACTTTATAATGTGCGCTAGACTGGGCTTAAGTGTGAGCATTTGTATGAGTCGTGACCTTTTCGTTTAGGAGCTCAAAAAACCCTTTCTGGAGTTATAATCATACGTGGGGACTGGCTAGAATGATAATGAGAATCTGGAGCATCCATCCGGAAAAAGTTCGTAGGATATGTGAAGTTAGGTATCGCTAGAATTTAATATAAGTTGCTGGACATGAGTTTCCTGACACGCGATACTGAAGCTTTGTCCGTTGGAAAAAGTTTGAGAGTACGTATAACGAATATAAAGTGGTCAAAACCAGAAACGGGACACTTGAGAATCTTGTGCGATTTTTAACAGTTGTTATTGTAGCTGCCGTACCTATAACGGGTACAGACACATGTTATACCCCCTTTTCTTCTTTGTTTTCCAAGCTATATATCTCTGAAATTTGAAACATCGAGTATGCTCACTAGAGAGCTTTTTCTCACATTCCAGGTTTTTTGTTAATCCACTGGTTTTCCTAGAAATTGAAATAATATCAGATTGTCATTGATCACCTTGTATTCCATTCCATTATTAGTTAGGGATTTTGATGAAGAATTCGAAGATAACGGGTTTGAATTGGGTTATGTCAACCGATTCCGAATATTTCCGCCTTTGAAGTCTCTTTATTGCGCTGTCACTCTTCGAGGATATGAAAACTTTGAACACGAATATCTTCGTAGTCGTTTGAAATAACCTCATCAAACTCTGGTATCTTCCACTTCGTTACAATAATTCCTTACCGATTATTCAATGAAATACAGGGTGTTCCATTCGAGAATCGGAAGTTGATGTCATTTTCAGGAAAACCGGAACATGACAGAATAATTTTATAATGTGAGAAAGTGTCCTCTAGTAAGGATCTTCAACATTTCGAATTTCAGAAATATGAATAAAAAAAAGAGGTTATACCAATAAGAGTCTATGTCACCTTGTTTGCGAATCGATTCGGACGTTTCTCACAAAAAAAATAGAGCTCATGATTATTGTGTTGATTGTGATCAGGTCACTCATGGAAAAATTACCATCGACATACTCCAATGCGATCCCACGTTAATGACGGCAATTTTGTTTCTCAGAAATTTCAATATGAGGAACTATGTTTTCCACTACAAACCTGTGGAGGTAATATCACAAAGTTTCATCCAAACAAAGCAGGAAGCATTCTGAGAGAGAAACGATCTTTGACCTATTCAACTACTTCTAAAAAATGTTAAGCTCAAAAAATTCAAATGTTTCTCCAGCAACTTCTTCCAGAAACGCTTCTGCAGAATATGCAGGAATGGATATATCATTTCATAATCATGGATGATATACAGTGTCCATCCGAAAAAACCAACAATATTGGATATGCTGATCCAATTCTCGATCCGGAGATATTTCCAACCTAATTTGCATTATAATGTCTTCTTCCGGAAATGTCGTGGATGCTGACGAGCAGTATATAGCACTGAAGATGACCATACTAGAAAAAGTGGATCTTGATCTCTCGTCCTTGCCAATTTCAGAATTTTACTCGAATTTTAATGAAAGATGAGGAGCTGAGGGTACTTCCATGGGAAGTGAAACACACTGTATAACACCTTGCAATTTTCTGATCAGAAGATCAGAAGGAAAATTGTCCATCACGTCGAATGTTAATGAGATATGCTTCCTCAAGTCGTTGAGAATGCTTGAACCAACTTGAACAGGCAAACCGGGAAATGCCTCGTTTCAAAACTATACCGGGTGTCCCATAATCAGCCTTTCAAACTCCACCAGCGACTGCTACGATGAAAAATAGGATGAAAATTTCCAATGACTATGAGTCGAAAAATGACTCCTAATGGAGCCACGGCCCCTCAAAAGGGGCTCCTGAAGATATATTTCCTGAATAGGAAGTTCAGTTCTTGAACCAGATTGCATCATTTCATCACATGGAGTTTCGAAAATATAAAGGATTCATTATATTCAGAAGCCCTCCCCCTCATGTTTTCCGACATTTATTGTAACTTGTCTTCCTATTTTTCGCCTGAGTCGATGCCATGCTGGTGGACCCAGTTAACACAAACCTCTCTGAGATGTCGCATTCAGGTCAACAAATGTTGAAAATGCGAATCGCAATTATAAGTTGCTGTTACCGCTACGAGATACGAATTTAGATGAATGGTTCACAATGGAACTCACATTTTGGTCGATCCGAATCAAATATGAATGTGTATTTGTGAGTCTATCTAGCATATCAAGTACGTTCATTGAATGCGTTGAAAATAAATTCCTTTGGAATCTCTGTATAATATGTCTCAAGGATGAATACGTGATTCGCATTTATTACATTCCATGATAACTAAATGTGAACAGGCGTCGATAACAGTTCATTAATTTTTCTAACATCTCAGGAAATTTTCATTTCTGGCACGACCTCCCTCTTTGGCAAAATGACGAACAATGTTCAGTTGTGATTCAGAAGTGAATTTTTGCAGTTGTGGCATTATACTTCCGCAGCAGCGATATAATGTAGAGCTTTTGCTTCGAAATTTATTTCTACAATTTCATTTTATTTTATTTTCTCTACCTCTACTGTGGAACATATGAACTTCTTCAGGTTTCTAACAAGTTGATAAGCTCTTCAGTCGACACTTTTACTCGAATGGTTTTCATTCTCTAACGCATAATATCATTTCGCATACTATACAAAAATTCATGTTTCGAAAACTGTCTGCAAATCTTGACATTTTGTTTAAAATGTCAGCGAAGTTTTACGTTCTAGAAAGCGAAATAGAACGTGAATGTTGAACATTTTCTTATAATATGTCGGGACCTGATTTCAATAACGTATGTTTATTGAAAATGATGGAGAAAAATGAATTTGTCGGGAAATAATGAACTTGATCGTATACATCAAAAAATGTATCTTGGTGCATAGAAGACGTGTACCAAATTTGATGGAGGTATATAAACAATACCATATATGCAGTTATAGTAGGTATAAAAACAGAAAATGTTCTTTCTGAAAAGTTTACCACCCTGTATCTCAAAATTTAGGACGTATAGAACATAAGTTCATGTAAAGATAAGATTTTTCTCAAAATGGGTCCAAAGAATCACCCTCTGCATGTCATTAAGGAACATCCTGTATGGCATATCCCCATCTATTTATAATGGCCGATCAGTTCACCGGTAGACTAAAAAAAGCATGCATGTTGCGCACAATGTGCTCTGCACGTGGTAGTTAAGGGTCGTAGATGTTGCCGAGAATTCCATAATGCCCTTTATACCCTGATTCCATTGATTCATCGAATGCTCGACTACTGTAATTATCGACAATCAAATAAACTACTCATTTTGCAATAAAACAATTTATTAGTTCGACGTATCCCAATTACCACCATTGATATTAAGAACTTAAATATCGAATAGTAGTTCTAGTAGTACTCAGTAGTAATCGAAGTAGGTACTTGGAAATTGTTCATAAGGACTCTGATATTAGAAGGCGTGGCATCAGTGTGAATGTGAGATGGCCGGTTGCCGGTGTCTGTTCATTTTTCGATTCATATAGCGTATGATAGCGTCTATACTTGAACTCGTTTGATTTAGTTTCAGAGAGTCGGTGCTATTGCTGAGAGTGTTAGAATCGTTGATTCTTTGAAATAATATCATATATATACCTACCTAATAAAATATATTTTGTGGTTTGGTACCAGTATATATTTTGTGTTCATTGCATCGTGGCCAGCCTTGATAGAACGGTAAGTTATACCTAGTTGTTAACTTCATGTTCTTCTCTCAAAACAAAATACTATCAAATATGAAAAATAAATCTATATTTCCAGGTTGAAGCGTTCTCTATTATTGTGGTTTGGGAGGAGAAAACCGTTCCCGAGTTTCCTATGTTGGCCCACGAATTTGGGACACCCTCCTATACTGAACTTTTAAGTATTATACAGGCTGTTAGGAATTTGTGGTTGAGGAGAATTACCGGTTACCGAGATCTCCATGCCCAGCCACAAATTTGTAACAGCTTTATTAGTATAATCGATCCAAGAATTCAAGTTTGTTTAATTTTTATGAAAATATATATATTTGAATATATTCCATATAAGCCATGCATACTTTGTTCATATTATATGTTATATCCGTTTTCTACGTTGAAATATAATGAGCTTCTTTGTTACCGTTTTGTTTGTTGTAAAAATTTATCATTTCAGGTTTCCATTCCCAGTGATTCAATTCAATTCACTAATCTTATACTCCCAATTATTCGTATCAGTGACTGATATGCGAGTTACATTATCATTCACATATGAGGTCTGATAAACCCAATTTGTGAGTTCTCTGGCAACATCTGAAATTCATGTGTTTTTGACATGAAGGAGAGTTACAAAATACTTCATTAAAATACATCTTTGATATCGGAATGTGACATATTCATAGTGATACGGATTGTGATTCACATTATGTAATTAGTAGCGATTCATTCGACTTCACATTTCAACATCAAAAGTATCCCAATGTGCATTCGATTTTGAAGGAGAACAAGTAGGTCACATTCAGCAGATTTCGAGTCACATTAGGCATCGCATTGTAATGCCTGAAGCCGGTCAAAGGGGCCCCGAATAGAAGTGTTGGCGATACTAATGTTAGTCACATTTCGACTCACTGGTGTGATCTGTAACATGAAAGTGAAGCCTACGAACATCTCTGAGATGATTTTGTGTTAACTGGGGAGTTCTGCAGGCTCATTAACAGACACCCTGTATATTGATTCAAATAATATTTCACACAGGGATGTGGAGAAACAGATGAAATTTCTATATTTGAAAAGTCAAAAACTCCAGAAACATGAAATAGTATTTACCGGTGATCTAACAAATTTCAGTCAATATTGCGCCTAACAAGAAGTATAAAATCTACTTCAGCTTGATGACTCATGGATAACTCACCAGAGAATCATTTCTATCTCGAAAAAAAACCCAAATGTCAATTTGTTAAGTAATGCGTTCAAAAATGTTCATGAATTCTGAAAAATTCGAAATATATTCTAAACCATCGCACTCTGTATCTCGGAAACGAAACAAGTCCAGATTGGGGTGCGTTTCTTCAAATAGGCTCATTTTGACTTCAGAAATATGTGGCAAGATTTTGTTCAGACGTTTCAGAGAAACCCTGTATAAAATTCTTGGTTATCTGGTTATTTCACCCATCTCAGGAAATTGCCAAGTTTATCCAAGACAACAGCTGTTGTTTCAATAAGGGGCACAGAAATGAGTATTCCGCATTGAGCAAAAAGACAATGTACTTCAGATCCCACCAATAATGCTCACTACATTGCCGACAAAAAAGGCACTGTTAACCGCGTGCGAAGCACTAAAATCCTTTGGGAGTTCGTGAATGGATCTGGTATAATGATGCTATAATCCTAATTAACAGTTTAAGTTGGGCCTATTGATAAGTTGCTCCTGTAAGTTGTTTGTTTTGCGTTTGGAGTTTTGTGGCATACGAACCCTCAGATTGAACAGCCATAAAACTTAAATGAGAGTCAGTTGTGCTGATGAGATGTAACTTCCATATTGAGATGTGTGTTCTATTCACAAAATATCACGAGAAACCACCTTGGTAATCAAGGGAATTTATGGAACTGATAATAATAGGAATTGAGTAGAGCGATCGAGCTTAATAGAAGACTACGTGCCAAACATATGAGAAATATTTTGTAGAATTGATGAATCAAAGTCCACTAGTATGGATCGACTTCTGACAGACAAAGTTCACTATGAAAGCTGTTCTGATAATTCTTCAACTCTGGTTTTTGTGCAGTTTGGATTCATTGAATATAACATACATATCTCATTTCAATTTCTCACCTTCATATTATATTCGTTTATTGCCAAGAACCTCTTGTCATCATTTACTGTTTCTTCCATCAGTGTTAAAATGTCCCTACTAATCTTGTTCCTCTTGAACCATTTGATCTACAAAAAAAAGCAAAATTTTTAACAACAAGCATGCAATGAATGGGGAAGACCACTGAGGGGAGAAATCCGTCCAAACCTCTTTCAATCGATGAATCATAATTTACATTTTATGTACAATCAATATTATGAGTTGAAGTTGAAATGAATCGAATCTATATCGTTTTCAAATCAGCATATTTCATTTGATATTTCAGACAGCTAAATATGATGATGGAGTCGTGACGTATTAGTCCAGAACTGTAGCTATCTCTCTCTGATACCTCGTCATTCTGCAATGTTGAAGTGTAATTGGTCAATTCAAGAACAATGGGCGTGTTCGGACTAAGACGTCGCACCAGTCACACCAATGAATTGATAAAATTTCAAATGGCGCAGCAATTGTGTGTTTTGAAATGGACATATACTAATTCATTTTTTTCATCGTCTTAGCATGAATGAAAACATTCAAAATAATTTACTGGTAGTTTTTCAGTATAGAGTTCACGATAATATCGTTTTAAAAAATCAGTGGTCTTCCCCATTGTCCTCACATCAAATCCCAAGTCTTCCTTATATCATTAGTGGAACATATTCCATAACAGATCAACTTCATTGTAGGAAATTTTTCAAATATATCAGTACCCATTCTGACTCTCAGATGACGTGAGTACATGCCACTTCTGGGTTCTGGAAGAGTCACACCGACTAGTGGATTGGTAAGATTCTCTGACCCTGGGCATCCATCAACTAGTTAAATCAAAGACGAACCTTCCTCAGTCTACTTTCAATTTCAATCCATTGTTTTCATAACATTATTCTCTTTGCCATGGTCGGCTTATTGAATTGAAGTGACAAGTGGTGGGATCACTGGGACACTTGGAACTGTCTCGATACCAGAGCCACAATCATGTCCGTACTTATAGGTACGGATCACGTGACAGTACCTCTTATTGCATAGGATAAAATATATTCATTGATGAGAATTCCTTCGATGCCAAAATCTTTGATATCATTTATATTCCACCAGATATTGGATAGACATTTCTCGAAATCAACACTATGCTGATACTAACAAACTGAACTAATTTCGTGAGTATTTCGATTTTTTCGAAAATTCACCTTGTCGCCCAATAGATTTGAATATATCAGTTTGGGAAGCTAAAACCGAACTGATATTAGCAAGGTGACGATTCCGATACGGCACCTGGTGGGCAAATTTGAACCAGTTTAGGACGTAATTCAAGGTCATGTTTGTTATTGTGTTCAGTGTTCAGTGGGTTTAAATGGTTTCATATTTTATGAATACCATTCAACAAATTACGTTAATTTTCTCTTCTTGCGTCTCTTGAGTACAAGACATGAACTTTATATCAATTGCCTAATCAATTCTATATTATTTTATAAATTAGTATCAACAAATCTCTGATAATACGCGAAATCAACTGTGTTTGGTTGCTGGTTGAACTAGTAGAAGGTTCCAATGGATAAAATGTAGGACCTATAATATGTCCTCTAATATGAATCTCCTGCACTCAAGAGAAGTCTTTTCTGATAATGAAAAATCAGTTCAGTTGAATGAAAAAAATGGATAAACGTTGAGAATCCAATGAGTTTGAAAACTGGATGTATGCAGCTCCAACAAAAACTTCCTACCTTTCTTCAATTCATTGGTCCAATAATGATAACAATAAGGTAAATTTGTGATTCATTGATATATTTATTACTGATGAATAACTCTTTTTTGCAGTGCCTATCTGAGAGAGAACATGATTGAAATGATCAACAGTTCATACTGTTTATGGGGAAATGTCTCCAGGACTTGGAAAAATAAGTATGGTTGTTTTTGTTTCAAATATTTTTATAAGAAAAATAAAGAAGCAAATTCAATGCCTTTGACTTTTGAACTGCAATACACAAAGCTGGGCAAGAAAAAAGACATTATGAACATGTGCAGGTGGGTAATTTATGGTTTTATTTTTAATGCTTGACTCATATGAAAATCTTGTTCATGACATCCTGCCTAGGCCTCCATAGATTCCTATTTTGTAGTATCATCTTTGTAGTAAAATAGCCAATGCAGATTGCATGTACTTCCAAAATGATTAAGTTAAAATACAGCTCCCAGTTACATTCATATGAGCAAAAACAGTAGCATATTTTATAGATATATAATAACCCTGCTACAAGCAGGTCATTGTAGGTAGCTTACTTCATAGCTAATTGAATCTTTGAACATACATTGAAGTGACACAATCTATTTCTATTTGAATATTTAGATGGTGTAATAGCTAATAGATATGGTTTGTTTATAGTAGGTACTAACATTTCTTCAATTTTTCAGCAGGGGAGGGTATCTTGCAATTGAGTGCAAATAGTTACACAAATTGAAGCCAAAACCCAGATTCCTTGAAGTTGAATTCAAGTTTTTAAGGAGATATCACTGATTATTTGGGTACTTGAACATATCCGTGACATTTCAAATTGTATCTTGCAAAAATGTATCCATAATTTTACTGATGCTTGTATGTTATTATTAAACTGTATTTATTCATAAGTAAAAGTTCTACTTTTTTTCTGTTTTGTAATGTTTTATTGTAGGTTTTCAGAATTCATATTTCAATTCCACAACTACCTCAATCAACATCAACACCTCATTCTTTTTTGATGCAATTTCAAAGTTTCACTTTATAATCTTTACTGATTCCTTTTAAAATAGGTACCTACCAGGTAGATACTTACTTTTGCTCATTGTTAATTTATTTCTACAAATATGAAAGTCCTGGATTTCAAATTCATTTTTAATTGTAAATTTTCATGAAGGTATCTTGTAAAATAATTCAGGGAAAAACAGTATACATGAGCACTGAGGGAATAAGGAGTATACTGGAAGATCCTTCTATTTGTAGGTACTTCTTTCTTGACTTCTTTGGAGTGGCATAAGTACAGTAAAACACATGTTATATCAATGTACTTTCATTTTCGAAAATTATTATTAATTCAGTTCCAAAATATACAAAACATAATGAACTATACAGATTGATAAGATAGATATTTTCAATTAGATGAATTTAGGATTACAAAATGATATCAAATCACAAAATTTATGATAATATACTGTGTAAATACATTAACTGGAATCCTAGGTCATTTGATCAGTTTTATGTGGTGGAATTTCAAATTATTCAATGATTTCATCAATATGGTAAACAAAATCAGCTTAAAATATCAAATGAATTCCAAGAAGAAAACTCAGTCTAGGATGCCACCTACCTCAACTCTAATTAGGAATATTCACATTATCAAAAGTGTGTTATATGTATTATACAATTCACACACATGGTACCTAGGATCATGACAATTTGCAGTTATTGCAGTGGAGCACCATAATATATGAGGTATGGGAGTTGCACTGTAAACAATCCTCAAAGCCTGGAAGTAATATTGTTGAAGATAGGCCATTGATGGTTGTATCTACTATTAAATCCACAGTAATGCCTTTGGTGTTGAATTATTTCTTGGTTTAGATTCATTAGAGCTGGTTGCTGCTGATTTCTATTGTATGGATCAATTGCACATGATTCTGATGACTATAACATTTAGCACAAAATAGTCCAATAGGTTAACACATTGTTTAGGGATGGTTTTCAATATGTTCACAGAAGGCTGTTCACTGTTGAAAAACTCCACTCCTGGTATCACCATTTGTGGTCTGTAGGATCCTTTTGCTTGAAGAGTGGAGTTATAGAGGTATATATCAGCTTCTGATGATAGTGGATATGCTTGTGATTTTTGATATCCCATAAAGCTGTCCCACAGAAATGCACTGGTTTGAAGAAAGCTCAGACTATTTGGTCTACGATTCAGTCAGTAGGTAAGTTATTTTCCTCACATCACGATGAAACGGTATGATCCAACAAAAAATATTATGATTTCAGTAAAAAGTTCAACAATAAACACAAATAACACGATGAAATATCAAGAAGAAAATGTATGCAAATCTCAAGAAATTTTGTAAACAAACTACACACTCTTTGCCGCCATCTTGTTTTGAAACAGCGCCCCCAACGGTCGATCACCTTGCCAATTGACATCGAAATGATGTTATGCATGTGGCGTCATCTATTTTCTTGTACTGAATACAACCCTCATGGTGAAATTCTAGGAAACTTCTTGAATATTGATGATCACATTTTTGTTCGTCTGGTGAAGGAATTCATGTGCCCTGAAAAGAACATCAATATCGCACCAATGGGTGGGTTTCTAGTTTTCACGTGGGTGACGGTCTCACTATTCAGTTTCCAACCGGTACTGATTCAGAATTCGATATATTCTGATGAAAAATATAGAAGTCTGATGAATTGAATGCATGTAGATATAGATTTCTTGAGTATCGATTACCTGGATTTCAGTTGAGTTAAATTTGAATTGGATGTGAACCGGATTCCACCAGATATTGGATAGATATTTCTGGAATTCAACACTATGCTGATACTATCAAAATTTGATATCCCTCGAAAATTCACCTTGTTTTGGAGGCTATACCGAACTGATATTGATATCAAAATGATGTGGCGCCATCTGTTGTCTTGTACTGAATTCAACTAGTTTGGTAAAATTCTAGGAAACTTCTTGAATATTGATTATATCTAGCATTATCAGAGGAGCATATCAATACATTTTTGTTAGGCAGGTAGGGGAATTTTTGAGCTCTGGAGAGAACATCAATATCGCACCAATAGGTTTCTGGCCCTTACGTGGGTATCTAATTAGGTAGGCATAGGTATCTCTGACTGAAATAACAATTCTATATAATCCACTTATCTTGTTGCTCTCGAACCATTCGGTCATAATAAAATGTGAAATTTCTAAAACCGACAAGCAATGAAATTACCTCACATCAAATCATGAGTCTTCCTATTATCTGTCCTGAAATAACATATTCTATAACAGATCAACTTCATTGTAATGAACTTTTCAAATATATCAGTACCAAATCTGGCTTTCAGATGACGTATATGTCACTTCAGGGTTCAGGAAGAGTCGGCTAATGAAATTCAGTGAATAAGTGACAAATGGTGGGACTAGAGTCACTGGATGGTATAAGTTTGATAAGAGTTCGGACACAGAAATGACAACGATTAGGGTTTTCGAATGTTTAGATTTATTAAGTTACACACCTTGCATTGTGACAAGAGCACCATAGTCGTCCCGCGCTTTTTCATTCAAAAATTCTTTGAATTTGACAATTAATTTTATAAACGTCAGAATTGAAATAAAATTTCATAATTATTATACTTTCGAGATGAAAGCAGCTATGGAAATCACTTGCTGTGTAATAAATTGTGCCAATTCTGAAACAAATGGAGATCATTTATTCGATTTTCCGAATTAAATATAATATCCATCAGCATTCGCTTATGGAAGGAAGATATGGAACGGCCTGGGTGGAAAATCAATTTGAAGACGAGCGAAATTTGTGAGGTACTCATTGAAATTCGCTTCTTATAACATCATCTGATCAGAATGAATCTAAATTTCAGGCCCATTTTCGAACAGAAGATTTCAAAATCTGATTGAGAGAATCTGCTGTTGCATCAATTTACAAAGCAGACGATTTCAAGAACAAAATTCCATTATTATCATCACACAAAATACAAAACAAAATAATCATGGAAAAAGGGGAAATGATCGAAAAATTACATTATGAAATTGAAAATTTGAAAACGAAACTAAGAGAAGCAAGTAAACTACAACGTGATATATTATTGAATGGCGGTTTTGGTGCCGACCGAATTCAACAATCAACAGTGAAAAGTAAATAGACATTTAAGTATGAAGGGAATAATTATTATAAGGGCCTTAATACGCTGGAGGTATCGTTTTGGAGATATTTTCTATATTGATCCATGTTACTTAGCTCCTAGGGCGCTAAGTGAAGTTACTGAGAACTTTACAAAACCAAATATTTGGTAGGTCTCGTCAGAATAAATCACTTTTTTTCTATGAAATCTTTATCAAAAAATGATTTTTTCTCTGTATTTCAGCACCCTGTATCTCCGAAATAAAGCATTTCCGGACACAAGCTTATATAGACTCAATTTCTTAAAATTGTCTTCACATATAATGAGGAATTATAGCAATAAGTTCATCCAAATGTATATATTCTCTGATATTAAAATGTTGTTACATGCATTTTTTCCATTTATATATTAGTTGCTCTTCTAAAAGTGTATCACTATGAATTGAAGTGGGTGTTTGTACCCTATATCCATTGTCCATCTACGGCTATGATTGATTTGACAGAAAATATAACCTCAAAAATCGTATCTGACAATCAGGCGCTACTAGGGAAATTGAAAAGACGAAGAGCAGAATATATGTCTTATTCTTTTATTCACTTAAACCATTGTATTATAGAAAATAGAAAAGGACAAAAGTTCAGCTGTGTCCGAACTCTTATCAAACTAATACCATCCAGTGACTCTAGGTGGGACCAGTGGGATCCATGCGAATCTCTCTATACAAGGGACACAATCATGTCCGTACTATAGTCATGTATCACGTTGATACTACTTCTCATTGCATAAGATATATTCATTGATGAGATTTCTTTCACTGTCGACACTTTTGTTATCATTGTGATAACATATTCCACTAGATATTGGATATATATTTCTGGAAATCAACACTATGCTGATACTAACAAACTACGATTTCTTACTGAATCAATTTTGTGATAATTTCAAATTCCTCTGGGAATTCACGGTGTCACCCAGCACTTGATTTGAAAATATCAGTTTTGGAGGCTATAATACCGAACTGATATTGATATCGAAATGATGTTATGTGTTGCCCTCTATTTGTTCGTACGGAATTCAAACAGTTTGGTAAAATTCTACGAAAACTTCTCAAATATTGAATAATAAATTCTCGTACTGGTGAAAAAGTCCATGTGCCTTGTAAGGAACATCAATATCGCAAAAAAAATATTCTGATAAAAAATATATGAATCTGATATATTCAAATATATTAGATTTCAATTTGATGTGAACGTATTAAGTATAACTGCATATGCTATGGTATGTTTATTCTGTAACTTAAACTTCCGGTTTTGAGTGAGGAAAACTCTAGGAGTTTGATTCATCACGATATTGATCTCGTCGGTAATGCTGCTCTCTGTTACCCTCACCAGACCCTAACGGAGAAATTAATACAGATTTCTTCCTTTCAAATAATCAATCTTTGGTCATATTGATTTTGGTGATATTGATTTCAACCTCGAATGTGGAATGAAAAAAGTCGATCGTCTGCTCCACTGTTCAAAATGCAATGGAAAGTAGGAATCTACCTGCGATATTATATAACAGGTCCCAGGTCTCATGCTATCAGTTTTGATTCGATATAATCAACACTCTGGGATATTATACTGTTCTGATAGTTCCTAACAGATGACACTAATATTGACATCGAAAATGTGCAGAAAAAAATTGGAACGATGCTTTAACGCCACGGCAAATGTTTCGCTGACTATATGCTACCATCTTCAGAAGATAGAAAGTTCTTTAGTTCTGGCGGATTTGAAATTGAGCAATGCTATTGTCTCCGTTCAGGAGAATGCAAGCAGATTCCTTGACTCTTCTCTTCTGGTTTTTATCTTCTTTTTCAATGATTTTAATATTATTCCACTCTGCCATATGTTGTCCGTCTCCAGTAAGGATATGTTCAGCTAGTTTCGATTCATCGATGTGTCTTTTCTTCATATTGTACTTATGTTCATTTGTCCTTACTGACACCAAGAAACCTCTCTTTCAGTAAGGACGAAGGAACATAAGTACAATAAGAAGAAAAGACAAATCGATAAATCGAATCTAGCTGAACATATCCTTCAGTAAAGATAGGACAGACAACATATGGCAGAGTGGAATAATATTAAAATCATCGGAAAGAAGATAACAACCAGAAGGGAGAAATCAAGAAATATGCTTGCCTTCTTCTGAACGTAGACAATAGCATTGCTTCTTATTCAGTTGATATAGACAGAACATGGTATTCACTACCAAAATCTCAACATAAAAATGGTTGATTCAAGATTAATTAATGAAAACATTCTGTAACTCATTTGATTGCCAACGTCACCAGTTGTCAATGAAAACTGAATAGCTTCAAGACAGATACGACTTTGCTATCGAAATAATCATTTCTTATGTTGAAAACGGAAGCAGATTTGGTCCCGAAACGTCTAAAGATAAGTGAAAATTTGATGTTTTTTCTATATACCTTCATTTCTCTTTTCCAAATTCTTTTCAATACAAATTTTCACTGACAAGCTGGAGAATTTTTCTTTTGAGCTCTCTGATAGGAAATTTCTTTAAACGCAGTGACATTTTGGGGCAAATGATCTGATTTGTCCTCACTACACGTATTGCATGATATTCATATTTCCATTTTATAGAAACGAGGAGAGAAAATCCCAAGAAATTTGAAATAATTAATTTCGAATTATTCGACAATATGACATAATATAATATATGGGGCATTTAATAATTATAAGTAAATGTAGAATCGTATATCAATATCTAATAGCACCTTATTGACAAATTCACTGAATATGCGTCATATTGATGTTTTATGATCAACACGTCATTTGAAGTTGAAGTGACGTCACTAATTGATGTGGCGTTACTGACTGAGTTTCAACAAACTGGTGCACTCCACATCGTCATATATAATCATTCACCAATATTGTTGCCTGGAGCATAAGGAAAATTTTTTTGTTATATATATTTGGACTGTTGAGTCATTAGAACATCTTGAACGAGGAGTTAGTATAAACTTCTCACCGTTACATTTTCCATGGAATCGTTCAGTCTGGATGTATCGCAATGCAATATTGCAGTAGACCCTGTCTGAGCTGTAACAAGAGCTGGAACATCAGTTTTAGATAGTTTCATCCTGGTCAACTGAGCCAGTGGTCTGAAGATAGGACGTTTTTTCTCGGTATCTTGTTTTGTCCGTCTTTGACGGTGAAGCCTATGGGTGTCTTGTCGATCTAAAATGGAATGAAATATTATCTCATATGAGCAATGGTGAGTCAATGATGGTTTCCTTCCTTTCCAGAAATTTCTTAATACGCTATTTTCAAAGGAAACGAATTTCTAGTTCATTGAACTTGTGATGATGTATCCTGGATTAGAAATGGTGAATGTTTTACAAATTCTAACTGATGGATATTCTGAATGATGTACTCTAGGTATAGATTTGAAGTTATAGAGTTGTTCGTATGCTGTATCTAATATCAGTATATTCAGGGGAATGATAATTATTGTGCGTATTTCATTTCTATCGTGAATAAATAGTATATCTTCATCATTCCTCGAATTCAGATACGTAAATGAACAAAGACAAATATATAAATGTATGTTCATGATTCGATACAATGAAGAAATCGTAGGTACTATATTTTCCTCGATGGATCTCAATTCTGTGTCACGCATATTCCATGTCATAGACCATATTATAATCAATTACCGAAATGGGCATTGAAATAACCAACAAGACGTTTTAATGCTCGCAAATGGCATGCTGAAACTTGAATTAACATTTATTATCCATTAAGGTTTTATCATTACCTCCATTACTTTTATCTCGACTGAATAATTTACTTCCTCTTGACATGAAAGCTTGTAAGACCCGTTCTGCTAATTTGAGGGTCCTTCAACATTTTTATGGACCCATGAGTAGAGTAGAAGTAGGGACAATATATTAGCAGAACAATTGTATAACATTCTGAGTATTTTCGAAACTATAACGTGAATATACCTACCTATAGTATACCTATACTTTTGAATGCGCAGGAGCATCGTTGATATTTCGCTAGTTACTCGTATAGTTTGGAGGACCTCCAGCAAAAAACTTGCGACGCGTGCTGTCAGAAAAATCCATTAATACCATTCGTGAGAATCATGACATTATAATTAAAATTCATCACATGCTTTGCGCCCCCATCAGGTTTTTACTCTCTCAAGTCTTCTGTGATTCTCAGCGAATTATTTGAGAAGCCAAAAAGATGTCTAGATTATGAGTTACCTCTGAAAGATAAAAGCGAAAAGATCAGTCAGGTTCTCTGGAAGATGAGAGCGGAAAGATCAGTCACAAAAATCATCATATTATGTTATAGAAAAAGTGATACTTTTTCCAGGAAATATTCGGAGATGGCTGAAGGACTCAGGTCGATGGCCAGTTGATTGTATTGTACATATGATCAATAAAGCACTTTATTATTATTATTCGGAGATTAAATCCACAACTTGTTGCGTAATAATTTCAGGAATGACTTTGTTTATCAAAACTTTTGAACCGAAGGCCAGAAATTTTGAATCAGTCATGAGCGAAATTGAAGCAGCTAGCTGGAGTATGTAGATTGACGAATATTTACAGAAGATTTAGCATCACTAGTTGTATTCGTACAAATATATCATGATATTGAGGATACTGCATTCATCATTCTGGCTTCGAACATAATTGACGTTATAAACGTCAAGAATAATATTGCTGAAAATTTTGTATTGGTAGAGCGAGTCTGATTAATTTCAATAAACGAAATATATCGCTGGAATATAGGAGACTCTGTGAAAATGGTTGATTCTGATTAGTTCTCAAGGACATGAGTGGAATAGTCTTTCAATAAACGTTGGTTCAAGTACATAGTGCTGAAATTGAAGAGGAAATAGTTGAGGACAGTGAAATTTATCCCAAAACCGTTTCCACGATATTTGATAACATATGATATTATGTGATAATCAAAGAGGTATATGTTTGGGATTCATCATGATCAACTCATAAAAGTATACTATAAGAAGAATGAATAATGAGAAATTGGATATGAGTGAATGAATTGCAACTGATTAGAAGCTATACTCACATGGAGTTGAGGAGGAAAGAATTGGAAAGACACACGTGAGACGAAAATTAATGAAAGGAAGGGAGCTCTTGACTTGGGAGTGTGGGAATAGCCAACTAGAGGTACCCTTGCTGGATACTCATCAATCTTCATCTTGTCTTGGATGGTTTCCTCGTCACTCTTCAGAGTTAATTTTTTCCTAACGGTCTCTCTTGACGAATTCTTCTTTCTTTCTTCATCTACTAAGCCAAACCTCACCATGGTGCAGGGAGGACAAGCCGCAGCTGCTCGGCAGATGGACATCTTTATTCGCATCATGGGACAATTTTGTGGACATCTGTGTGCAAAGTTGGGGCAATTTGTGAACATCGTCTTCGGTGGCCGTGGATTGATTAACTATGAGCTAGTGACCTAATCCAAGTTCAGAGAACCCGTGACGAGAAATAAATGCAGGGGGCACCACAGGACTCGACGAACCAATTTCTCCATTACTTGTAAGAGGAGGAAAAACGAACCTCTGGTGCTGTGAGCAGGAGTGTTACACTCACCTCGTTGTTAATTGCAGTAGCCCTCATCATATTAGAACCATAGGTCGTTAATGTTCAAATCAATAACGGCATAGACGAGGTAAGATAATAAGATGTGCCAATAAGTCTGAGTGTCATCGAAGGTTATCTGAAGATTGTCGGAGAACAGATACAAGTCGAAGTTCAAACTCACATCTCCACTCTTATACTTCGGAAATTTCATAAATGAGCTGTCACTGACTACAGATGAGGAGAGGAAATCTCAAGGAAATTGGGGAAAACCGTATCATTTTCATTCATACAGTTTTCTCGCTGAATTTACCCAGATTCCATTTACCATTACAATGGTCGATCCTGCACACAATTCCATTTCGATTCCTGCTGAACCGATAGAACTTATTGTAATCCGCAGGATTATATAATCTAATGGAGCTCGCTAAATGAACCTCTGATAGCAAATTCAACACCATGTAATCTCGTTCGAAATGAATGTTAGTTCTTCAATCAAAATCATGTGGCACTCAATTCCTTCATAATACACGATAATAGGATAGTGCAGGAGTTGAATTTCGGGAGATAGGTCACAGTTAGCAGAGGATCATTATGGAAACGATATTCATTTATATAATTATCTCGATTCACCATCATCTACTTCATGGGCGTCATTTAGGGGGACAGGAAGGAAGTGCAAGTACCCCTCCTACAAAAAAATAATTCTAGTTAGAAACGTCCTGTAATCACATACTACACATAGACTATATACTATAGTATTGCACCAATTGGTACCTACAATTGAGAAACAAAGATATATCATCTCAAAATGTTCCATTGTAAATTGACAAGTTCGTGTTCAGTGAGAAGATAATAGTTATTTATGTATTAAGGGAATTATGAGGGCCTTAATTACCGATGGCAAAGTTTGCGTCCCGAGGGCATCTGGCCCGAGGGACAGCAATTGCCTGAGGTTATTGAGGCTCAGTAATTCCCGTGATACATAGATAATTTTATTTCTGACTGATTTCATTCATTAGATACCTTCCCGATTGGAAGTTAGACATGTTTTTCCGTATAGTTTCAATGTCATCAGAACATCAGATGATGATCTTGACTACCGCGAATAGGAGATTCCTTATTGCTACGTTACTGCGTGGTTGTTGCTATGAATTTCTTATTTAATTTCAGTTAGAGGGAATTATAGCATCTATGACATCCCAAGGGAGTTATGACCCTCATAATAGATATCGTAACTATGACGATATAAGCTTATAATGTCACTGTCAGAAATAAAAATCATTATCAGCACTCAACCAGTGATTGACGTTATCTTCAACCTCATTCAGATACCTTGATCTAATGGAACTATAAGAGAAAATATCGAATCATCACTGACAAGCTAGTGCATTTTTCTGTTAGGCTCTCTGATAGGAATATTCTTTGAACCCACTGACATTTTGGGGCAAATTATGTGATGTGTACTCAGAACACGTATATTGGAATAATATTCATATTTTCATTTAATAGAAACGAGGAGAGAAAATGCATCTGAAATATGAATATACCACCTCCTTGATTAACCTACAGACTAGTACAGACAGTAGTTATATCGATGTTCATCAAAGAGAATGCGAAATAAATATTTTCCTGTATATTCATTAAATTGATATGACATGTTTTCCATGCAAATTCACGATAGTTGATTGTCTCTGAAACAGAGCAGTACTCTCGAGGGATTTTGAAATATTCAAAGAGATCTGAAAATACAATATTCCTTCAACGTCCTCTCACGATACTCACGGGTGCATTTCAGTATAGAGGTAGGTTAACTCTAATTGGCCTATTTTGGTCTCCAGTTTACCCTGTATAATTATTGGACGTTGTTCTGGAGCACCTTTCCTCCAGTTTGAAGGCATCTGACCTTGATTTGCAACAAAAATTCTGCCTCCGGCACATTTTTATCGTACAAAGATGTTTCTTGACCCCTCATTCTTATACACACAGAAATGTTGTTATTATCACTCTAGAAAATATCTAGTTTCCAGTCTGAAGGCATTCGACCTTGAAACAAAAAACAAATCTGAGTTTCTTGATTCTCCTGCTATTCACGGAAATGGCACCCCTGACCTACTTATGGTAATACAAATGAGTGACAGCGGTTTAACCAGCCCAATTTATCGTACCAAGTCTTCGATACAAACATATATCGGGTCTCGCTCCCACTAATTTGTCTCCTACTTCCCTAATTGAAAACGTTTGCACGTCAGCTTAGTTCAGTCCAGCTTGATTGAGTGGAGAAAGGCGTTTTTCCTCAACAATCTGTATTCAAAATGCTTTTAAATTATGAATGTCATCGATTCGACGTTCTTCTTCTTCTTCTTCTTCTTCTTCTTCTTCTTCTTCGAAGCACTAGTGGGCGGGTGAACCCCCTGCACGTGGGCCTCCTTATTCGGGCCCATTGTGCGCCCACATGTTACGACATTCAGCTGGGTATGCCGACTGCCTTGGAGAAGTTCAGCAGCTTCCTCAG